ACGCCGGATATGAGGAAGAACAAGTACGCTCGAGCGTATCTCTGTACTGTGGCGTCATCGGCGTCCGCAGGCAAGCCCTGGAAAGTATCTCGTAACCAGATCGTCCTCAAGGCGGAGCCCCTAACATCGTTGGGACCCGGCTGCACCCCGAGAGCCCGCACAACCAATCCAACGGGATCGACTAGAAATGATCCCGTCACTGCAGTCCCTGTACTGGAAGGCGCGTCAGTATTGCCACGTCCCGCAATGTCACAGTCGCCTCCCCAACTGGTAGGTGGAAGGAGTGCGTCTCCTGCCTCCATCTCTCCACTAACGCCGTGACAAGGTGTCGGTCGATCTCCCTGAATCCCAAGTGATGTACACCGCCAAAGCCAGCGTACGTCACGTACTCAAGGCAGCGATCATGGACAACCCAGGGGGTCCTGTAGTGCCTGCACTGTAATGGCTTCGCTACGTCACCCTGAAAACACAGGAGCATTTATAAGTAACAAAAGATAGTACATCAAAGAATCCAAAAACGTTAAAGATGAATCATTACCGTCAGGTTCCATACGTCGACGCTCCGATGGGTGTCCTGTAGTGTCAGGACAGAAGGGTCAACAGGTCCGGGTGTCCTATCCTGTACGTCCATGATATCTGTTCATTGAAAACGTTACACACCAAACACTAACACAATATATTGAATACTAATTTCGATTGAAAGGCATAAACAGGAAATCTCGAACATCCAACGTAAAAAATAAAATTCATCGAATTGAACACAATAACACATAATGTAGAAAATTATAATTGTTTCATCAAAATAACACCACTACATACTACTATATCAAATAACACATATGCACTTAGGTCCTATGTTGGTCTAGATGGACAAGTAGTGCGGTTGTGACCTTGCTGGTGACAACGGCTGCATTTGGTTGGGGGCCGGTTGCTGTCATCCATCTCATTGCGTATGCGCTTCGACTTTGGACGACCTTTTCCACGTATCATTGTGCCGTCCGGAATGAGTTTAGGGCCTACGTACTGTGCCCACTGTGCCCAGGTTGTCTCGCAGGGGATCGGCCAGAACTGTGGTGCATAGGTGTTCATGTAGGCGGCCGACTGCAACAGAGGGTCCACCCAAGGCCGTTCTGATAGTGAGTATGTAACACAGACTGCTAGCACATGAGAACATGGGAGGTGGAATATCTTCGGTTTGTTGCACGTACACGTTCTCAACTGCCAGTTCACCGTATGCTTGTGGCCTCCTTTATTACCAACTCTCTCTCCCCTCTCTGTTGTCACTTGGTAAATATGCAATCGCCGGTTATAGGCATCCACTCTATGATATCTGGCTTTAGCGGTGTTCTTCTCGAGGATGGCAGTGACCTTTGGGGGGTATGGAAGTCCCTGATCAGACCTAGCCTCAGAAGACTCCCTTCTCAAAGTGAAATACTTGTTAACTCTGTGGAAGGTTAACTCGACAAGGGACATAATCGGTAGAAACCGAGCTCCTTTCAGCACATTGTTGAATGTCTCCGAGAAGTTAGTAGTACATACACCATACCTGCGACCACTGTCGTGAAACAGAGACCACATAGGGAACGGGACTTGAGCAATGTACTCAATGGCCTTGGGACAGGCCTCACCGATGAAACACAGATCAGCTTGAAGTTTTCTTTCTTGCCTTTGGTACGCAGCGGCCTTGAACATGTCTCTCATGTCGTTACTTCGCACGTGAGTCTTCAAGTTAGAGGCTATGTGGCGGACACAAAACCTGTGATACGCTCGGGGCTGGGTGAATCCAACATTGGGATCATTCATTGCTGCAATGATCCCAGGATGCCGATCAGAAATAACACAAAGGCCACCCCGTTGCGTGACACGATCTCGAATACAACCTAGGAACCAAGACCAGCTGGAAGTGTTTTCCCCTTCAACCACCGCAAATGCAATAGGAAATACTTGGAAGCTTGCATCAACACTCGTAGCAACCAACAATGTTCCTTTATACTTCCCGTACAAGTGCGTCCCATCGATACAGATAACAGGCATACAATGTTTAAAGCCATCGATACAAGGACCGAAGGCCCAAAACACTCGTTCAAACACTTCCATGTTGCTGTAGTATACACCATCCACTAAAGCTTTGTGTTTCCATACGACACATGTTCCCGGGTTCGACCGTAGGAGTGCTTGCATGAAGTGGGGAAGTCTGCCATATGAACTCTCCCAATCCCCAAATATCTCAGCTATAGCTTTCTCCTTGGCATACCACGCTCGTCGATACGGGACATCGAAATGAAATTGCTTCGAGATCAGTTCCTGTATGAATTCCACTTTCAACGAAGGATCTTTCCGCACAAAGGACTTCACATACTCGGCTATTACGGACGAATCCAAGTGTGGGTGATCATTAGATAGTACTTCACTGATACATGTCTCCCGATGCGGGCCTTTGTACGTGACTATGGTAAAACCACGTGAGTGCTCACTCGATTTGGTACCCCGTAGCATCCAACCACATTTCTTCTTGCATCGCAGATGTAGGACACCATCATTCGAGGTCACTGTGGTGTAGAATTGATTCCTCTGAATAGAATACATCTTCACCATTTCTTGAAGCAGTTTCTTGCTCTCAAAATACATTCCCTTCTCAAATTCTCCCCCAGAAACAAAAGAGGTGTGGCTACCCGATTCGGCCCAATACTGATCAACTTCATAGTTCCCGGGTACCTCACTGAACCAAGGTATGGGAGTTCTAACCAACGGCTGACCATCTTCCACCTGTGTAGGTTCATCATCCCCCTCTCCGTTCTCGTCCTCATCATCCATTTCCGCATACACATCATACACCGACAATTCATTATTCACAACATCATCAAAATGATTTGGCTCTTCTCGAAACGGTGAACCATCATCACCTTGCATAGGAGAGTAGCTATGCAATTGCATCGGCGAAGATGCCACGGTGTTCGATGACGACGGAGCAGGCTGGCCGAACACTGTCACGCGTCCCCCCGCATGTACTGGTGAAGCTATATGAGAACTAAAAGGCAAGTGAAATTGGTCGTCCTGCATCATTCGAGTGAAAGAACCCATCCCATATGCATTCGATGGAATGTGGTTTGCGGGCTCTTGGAAGGACGCGGTGTTGTAATCAGAGACATATGTAGCTTGCTGTTATGCCCGAGTACTTTGTTGGGTACATATAGGCACTGTTTCTACATATATCTCATTGGGAAAACCCTTCATTCCTACCATGCTCCTCAAACCTTTCAAATGTCTGTTCGTAGAGACAGGTAACACTTGCACCCCATGACTAGTATCACACCTCATTTTAAGGTTCAGTTCAACAGTCATAGGGTTTGAACCAATGCAACTGTGAACCTCATTCATCAGATCAGTCACAATCATGTTCGGTTCAAGTGTTCTAAGGTCCATATTCCCTCCACTGTACTCCACATTTGATCCATTACACAAAATTTCACCTCCCCATCGACATAACAACGCTACATTTTGTCCAGCCATATTCTACATAACAACCAAAACACATTTTACGTAAAGCCGTTAAATCATCCCTAAATCACCACAATCAAACAAAAAAAATTTACATACTCTACAAATTAACTACTAAGAACCCCTAAATCACCATTATTACACAACAATGTAGGTAATTACAATTGTTCAAAACCTAATAATTATCAACCATTGTCAACAATTTTCAACAAAACCAACAACAACAATTCAACATTATCCAAACTATTATCAACACTAACAATATCAACACTAACAATATCAACACTATCATTATCAACACTAACAATTCAACAATTACCAACACTAATAATTCAACAATACCAATACTAACAATTCAACATTTTTAACACTAACAACTCAACCTCATCAACATTTTAACCCAATTCCAAAAAAATTAGAAATCACCAACATAAACCCTAGAATTTAAAACACAAAGAAAGTTGAATGAATACCTATTTCAGGGTGAGGGGAGTGTATAGTGGGCTACACGGAGGGCGACGGTGGAGGTGGCGGCGCTAGCGGCGGTCTATACGGAGGAGCACAAGTATGAGAGAGAGGGGGATTAAGTTAGAGTTTGGGAAAGAAGGGGTTTGAGAATGAAGGAGGAGGAAATGAAAGGATGAAATACACTGTTGGAGGGAAAAAAAAACGACAGAAACGCTGTCTCAGACAGCGTTTCATTAATAACCTTAAACGCTGTCTGAGACAGCGTTTATAGTTCCAGAGTTAAACGCTGTCTGGGACAACGTCTTTGGTATAACTGTTTTTGTTTTTTAAAAACATTTTTATAAATAAAAGGCAATTACAATTTTTTTTTTAAAAAGGTCAACAACAAAGACGCTGTCCCAGACAGCGTTTTTAGGTTGATTTTTTTTAAAAAAAAACCCAGGCATAAAACGCTGACCGAGACAGCGTTTTAGCCTGGAAGCTTAGTTTGGTAAATACTTTTGCCACACAACCATTTTGGTTAATATTTGCCAAAATTGGCTCACTTTGGAAAAACGTCCCGAGGAACAGGTGTTCCGTGTTCTTTGTTCAACTGTCATGACGGTTCTGACTTGAAAATTATGATCCAAATTAGAGAGTAGAAGTAAAGGAACAAGTTCATTTTGTACTTTTGCATTTGTAAGTTGCAAATCTTGCAATCAACCAAATCAACCCTAATATTTCAAGTATGTCATACCTTCCTTTCATATTCACTAGTTCACTACTAATAGAACTTACTATACTGCTATACATCCAAAGTTGATCTAAATAGCAGATAAGTTAGAGAAACTTAAACTGCCTTTATTTTATGGGATAATTTTGTAATGTGACATATAAAGTCCGAATATAAATACAAGCACTTCATATAAACTTAAGTCTTATCGATAGATTATGGACACTCGTTAGAAAAACCGTTACAAGTATTAAAAATGAATAAATACTCCGTAAATAAAAATTGTAGATCTAACGGCTGACAAAGCGTCACATTATTTCACAAAAGCCTCGTATATTTTTCATTTTTCCCTTTGAAGCTTATTACTCTTATTACGCTGCACCCATCTCCCTCCTCAGAGCGTACTCCGAGCTCTTCATTGAAGCGCCTTCCGATCTTTCTCTCCTCCATTATAGGAGCTTCTTAGGTACATTTTTTCCTTATTTATTTAATCATCGAATATCAGTTTCACAATCTAGGGTTTAGTTTCACACTGTTGTTAATTTAATTGTCAGTATAGTCGATTTAGGGTTCTTCTAAGATGGATTTTTGAACTTTTGATTAAAATTACTGAAGTTATGAATGATTAGAACGATCAATTTTGTTGTTATAAGTTTGCTATGTGCAATTTGGCGTTGATTTTCTTTAGCGAGACGAATTTTATGTGATTTTTCGAGCCTAATTTGATAATTGCGTCTAATTTGGTTGCAATTTTTGCGAATGTGTTGTATTTTATGAGCTTAATGCTAAATTCTTTATGAGGGTATTAGAAGATTTGGAACTTGAGCTGAGCTTGGGTTTTAAGGCTTGGTGAGCTCGAACCGAGCCCAATCAAATCTTATTGAGCTCGAGCTGAGACCGAATATTCGGGCTGCTTGTAATTTGTTTTTGAGATCAGTATATTGGCTGAAATGACAGTGAAATGCTATGCATAATTTTGTGATAAGCTGGGAATGCTTTACTTCTTCGTTTGTTGTTAGATAAGTTATTGCAGTTGTGGACTTGCCTTTTAGAATTTGGGTTATGGTTTTTGTTTCGAAAGGTTCCGTATAGTTTGGTGGGGATGCTATAAGGACTAGGTTTGTGTTGGGTTTTCTCATTGTAGTTTGAAAATGCATTGGATCAGTGATAATATATCAAAGAATCCCAAACCCATGGCGAAGTAATTCAATTATTGTGCTTAAGGAAATGAAACTTCGAGGCAAATATTCTTTGCATAGTTATTACTCCAACTTGTAGCTGCTCCATAGATAAAGGAAACCATATCATATAATCCATGAAACTTCATGGGGATAATGAAGGTGTCTGTGATGGCATTTTGATGTATTCACGAGGGAAATGTTTGATGGATTACGATAATAACCATTGCCCATACAAAGAAATAGAGTGACTTGAAATCAATTTCAATTAGATGATGATTAATAGTAGAGTTTAGAGGGCAAGTTGTCAAACCTTTGTCAATGATTCGTTTTTTTTAAATTGCTTGTGTATCCGTTTTCATACTTTGTAGCTATGGGTGCTAAAGAATTTACTATTGTACTGGTTGCATTTGATATATATGAAACTGAGTTTATTTGTTTCTGCTTAGGTTTTGAAACATAGTGAGGTATGTGATACTTGTTTTGAGCCACACATGTCTGGTTGTCTAGTCATTATAGCCTTTATTGGTGATTTGTATATTGTTTTGAAAACCTTGATATCATCTTATTCACATATTATTGCTATGATTTAATAGCGTTTTCTTGGAGGATGAGAAGGTTGGGAAAATGTGTGGGAAGGTCAAGTCCAGAGAGATTATGCTTTGTAATTTATATAATGGTTTTCATTCTGATGACAATGAAAGCTATTGTTGCCTACTTGCCTTTTTAACCAGGCAGTTTCTCTGTAGTACTTCCTTTGTTCTTTTATAATTGCAACTTGCTCCTTTTTGGGAAGTTGTTGGCCAATGAGTTTCTCTCTCTCTCTCCTCAACACTTGGAGCCCCTTTTTATCTCTCTCATCTCCTAATATATTTCGCATGCCCCTAAATTACCATTAAAAGAAAACGGAAGAAGTATTACCTTACGCTTATCTGGATTTTTATTAACATAGAGTAATGCTCTTGCCGTGTCTTGACTTCTTTTTGCAATTTATCAACAGAATACCATTCTATCTTGTGATTTGTTGAGACATTAATATACTTGGCTATTCTTGAGTGCAGAGAGAGCTAGAAGTTACTGATGGCTGCTAGAGTGCTCTCTCGAATAAAAAACAGCCCCCTTGTCAATACACTGAGGCAGGCTAGTTCTCCGTTTCGCAGCTCTTCAACTGTAACACAGGGCCAGCCATCTGCTACTCTTGGCTCATACAGCTCAGGATGGACCATTTCACCTTCTTCTCTGGGAACTACTTTGAAGAAATCCAGTGATCTTATTCCTGCAATGGGCTCTCTATGGGGATCAGTTATTGCTCAGCCACGATCTGGTTTTTCTTTGAGTGTTCCTAGGATGGCAGTATCTGTACGCTACAATTCTACATCAGGGATATACGCAAATGTAAGGAAGAGATTCAGCAAACAACGCAGAAATAGAGGTGAAATGAAGGGAGTTTCAGATAATGATCTTTCTTTTGGTAAGTATGCTCTTCAGGCACTTGAACCAGCTTGGATCACATCAAAACAAATTACAGCAGGGCAGCTAGCAATCAAAAGAAACATGCGTGGTGGAAAACTATTCATGCGCATATTTCCGCACAAACCGATTACTCTAAGACCTGCAGAAACACGTATGGGTCGTGGGAAAGGAAACATAGCACATTGGGTAGCTGGTGTTAGAGCCGGGAGAATAATTTATGAAATAAACGGAGTGCCAGAAAGTGTAGCACGCAAGGCAATCACGGTTGCAGCATCAAAATTCTCTGTGAGGACCAAATTTATCAAATCTACAACATAGTTACAAGTAGTGCTTCTCTTCCCCATTGTTTGGACCTTTTTCTACAGCATAGATACATCTCTTGTTTTTTTGAATATTTGCACTGTTTTTCTCTCAAGGAACTTGCTGGAGAATATTTTTAAAGGCTGGATTATGAGCTCCGTGTGATTGAAGGTAGAGAAACATGGCTTTTAAATGCTCAGTAAACTGCAGCCGAAAGGGTATTACAGATGATATCGGACTCTAACTAGCTAGTAGTTGAATTGAAATTCTTACTCTTAAGCTGTATTTGGTTGGGTGGAAAACATTTTCTGGAAAATAATACAAGTATGAACATTTTATCTTTAATCATCTCCCAGGTTTGTTTGGTCTTTCCAATTTCGTTTTTTGTGCTAAATTTTATCTTGTATTTCAAGATCTATTACTACACCAGTGTCCAGTGCATAAAATGCTTCCAGACTAGATTTATTAGAACTTAAATTCTTCCATATCCAAGTAGATTTTGATTACTTTGTGGTTTTTCCCAAATGAAAGGGGAACCTTGTATACCCGCCTGCACGATTCTCTTGACCATAATTTCCGATCAATACATATTAAGCTTGGCTAAAATAATTTATGGTAATGTTGTATGCGGGCTGCATATAAGCATTTAATATACTTCATTTTTTAAGCAGTAAGTTGGGAATTTATTAACTATTCACGAGTCTATTAGTGTAATAAATGTTTATTTATTGTTAATTTTTTTTATTTTAGTTTTTTATATGCAGTCCTTTTATATCTTTTTCCAATAATTTAAAGAACAAATATTGTAATAAAGAATCAATGTAATAAGGTTTAATCACAAAAAAAAAAAATAACACTATTTAATAATACAAGTATAAGTTTAGGATTACTACCTTTACTTCGTAATAATCGCAACAGTTTGACTTTTGCTCTATTTATATGCTTACTATAAACTATATTTAATATCAATAAACAAAAATTAAAAAAAACATATGTTGCCATATAAAATATTTTTAGCTTAGTGTTTATGTCTACTTTCATTAGTGCGATTATTATGAAACGAAGAAAGTATCCTACATTCCTACGAGGCTACGAGAATATCGTCGTAGACTCAGGTGGTGCGAAGTTGGCATAGATGGACTAAAACAATGAAACGTGAGACGTTACACTTAAATCTCATTTGGACGTGTATAAACAGACACAGAATAAAATTCAAGCCTTACGTGGAGGATGGAGAGACCTTCTTTCAGAAAATAATTTTAACAAATCAATTTCTTACTACACATTTTTCCAACACACTCAACTTTCTCTCTCTAAAAAAACTTACGAAGCGCCTTAAACCAAAAACCCCTCTTTTTATTTCTGATTTTTTCCTCAAGTTTCTCTCTCCTCAACTCCGCACACTTTCACTTACCCTTCCTTCCTCTCTCCATTTCTACCACCTAGAACTTTCTAACACTTCTCTAATTCTTCTTCTTCTGCCATTGCTAGGGATTTCGATTTTTCAAGGTTTGAATCTCGAATCACAATTTTATTTCATTTTAATCTTTGTTTTTGTAAGGTTTTTTTTGCTAATGCAAAGTATGTTTTACAATTATAATTGATTAGTTGATTTTTTTTCTGGAGAAATGAAAAATGGTGATTATATTGTTCGCAATTTGTTTGAGTTCGTTGCGATGATAGTGTTATAGCTAATTTATGTTGAAATTAGAACTGGAATTTTGTGGATTTCTTCTGAAAATGTGTGCGTTTGCTTTGTTGATCGTATTTTTTTCCGATTGAATTTGTTTTTTCGATGCTAATTTTGGTATATTATTGTTTATAATTATCTGACATTGATTTAGTAGGGTTTGAATGCTATATCATAATGTGGAAGTTTGATTTTGAGGTCAAATTTTAGTTATATAATGTTTATTGATGTTTGGAAATTAATTGTGAAAACTGTAGGAGATGTTGTGTTATTTTGATTTTTGAATGAATATTAGTTGGAGCTACCTAGCAATTAGGCAGTTGCATATATTTTTTTGAGCTACCTAGCAATTAGGCAGTTGCATATATTTTTTTGAAAATAAGTTTTTCTGTCTCGAGATTAGGCACCGAGAAGATACATGAAAAAATTGCACTATTCCATGCTTGATTTTAGGTTGGAATATGGGAGAGAGATTTGAGATTCATCCAGGACTGATTCGCAAAGTAACAAAACAAATTTATACCATAGCTCATAATGCAGAGTTTGGGTTGGATAGGGATAGTGCTAGAAGCCTAGAAACAAGATAGTGTTTTAATTAGTAGGTCAAAATGAGCTCTTCACTCTATGTAATGGAGTAATTCTATACTCTTCATGTTACTATTGTAACCCGTCAACTTTTGTACATAGTTGGCTCTTGGGAATTTTTTTGTGCCTTTTGCTTATTTAGTACTTCATAGTTTGTTGAGAATGTGTCATTCTAGTGGTTTCTTAATATGTTTATTGCTCAATCAAGCTTGTTTTTGTCTATTGATTTTATTCTTTTCACGAGTTTCATCAGGCGTTGGCACTCGCTAATGTTGCATGATTGGAGAATAATTCATCATCCCATGGGCATCAAGAAGTAGTGATCTAGGGGAGATTTAGATTAATTTTTTACTTTAAGGGAATTCCTCATGGCAACAAGAGCTATTTTGCGCCGGAGGAAAGCCCTTGCCAGTGCATGGACTCAACGCAATGGCTCTTTCCGTTGTTTTTCAAGTTTTGAGCAAGAGCAATCATCCCTTGTCCCTCATTCACAGAGTTGGGCTGCTGCTCTTCCTTCTATGGATATTGATTCAAGGAACGAGAGGGAATCAAATTCAGTAACCAAAGATAAATTGCAACTTTTTTCTTCTGCTGGGTATCTACACAATCATATTGCTCGGAGTTCAGCTTTGACATCAGTTAATGTACATCTCAACTATGGATCGCCTTTAGGAGCTGGCTGGCGGTCACAACTTTTGCGTTATTCTTCATCAGCAGCATCAGGTCAACCAGAGCTCCATAATAATAATGACAAAGATGAAGAAACAGCTGTCGCTCAATCAAAAGAACCTTCACCTGAAGAATGTGATCAAGCAGTTGAGGGTCTTAGCTCAGCTAAAGCTAAAGCCATAGCTAAGCAAATGCAAGAAAATCAAAAGAGTGCAAAAACAATAATGCAAAAGGTTTGGGCTACCCTTTTAGGGATTGGGCCTGCATTGAGGGCTGTTGCTTCAATGAGCAGGTAAAATTTTAAATCTTTCGTAGGCAAAATTATCTGCAAATATATTTATGTAGGTTTTCTGTTAATGTAGAGCGGATTGGGCTGTTAAGCTTCATCATTGGAAGGATGAATTTGTATCTGCTATGAAGCATTATTGGTTGGGCACAAAATTACTTTGGGCTGATGTTAGAATAAGCTTGAGGTTGCTATCGAAGCTTTCCAAGGGCAAGAGTCTATCAAGGAGAGAGAGACAACAACTCACCCGAACTACAGCTGATATCTTCAGGCTAGTTCCAGTTGCAGTTTTTATTATTGTACCATTCATGGAATTCTTACTGCCGGTATTTTTGAAATTATTTCCCAACATGCTGCCATCAACTTTCCAAGACAAGATGAAGGAACAGGTAATTTTAATTTGTTGTGGTGGCATTTTCTAGTAATGTCAACTGTTTGGTATTGTTGCAGACTTTGAACTGCATAGGGATCTTGCTATATTTCATGCTTTATACTTTGCATCTTTGTTTATTGATGCATTGTGGTAGTGTAGCTTTTTTTTTTTTTTTTATTGAATGTTTTGGAATACTGATAGCAATATCTTTGTGCTGTACTTATTCTCATGTTTCTACTTTCTAGCATATTAATTAATTGAATTTGATATTTGTAATTTATCCATACATACTTGTACTCTGCATTAGAACTGAAAATCCCGTGAAAAGTGAACTGGAAGTAAGTCATAGTAACACCTAGAACAGAAAAGTTCTACATTAAACTGTATTTTTATTCTACTGAAAATATGATTGGCAGTGGGTAGCTTTAATTTAGGATTCCCACTTTGTCTTTGCATATACCTTCTATGTTTTCCACCAAGAACTGCTGGTGCAGCGGATTTCCTTTTGTACCCTTCATTTAGCTGATGGGGAGGGTTGTGAGCTGCTGTGTGGTGCTTGTTGTCTACCATTTAATGTAAATTGGAATTTAACATTATGTCTATGCTCTCATATCTTCTAGCTTTTTTACAGGAGAAACTGAAAAGGAAGCTAAATGCTAGAATTGAGTATGCCAAGTTTCTTCAGGATACAGTGAAAGAAATGGCAAAGGAAATAAAAAATTCTCGTAGTGGAGACATTAAACAGACAGCAGAAGATCTTGATGAATTTGTGAACAAAGTAACGATATTATCATTGTCTCATCTTGTAAGATATATCTTCACATCTACTTTTATTTTCCATAATTAAATCATAATATTTACAGGTTAGGAGGGGTGAAGATGTCTCCAATGAAGAAATCCTGAATTTTGCCAAGTTGTTTAATGATGAATTGACTCTTGACAACATTAGCAGGTTCGTGGTGTTTTCTTTTTTACCGGATCATAGATGACCTGTTTTATATGTTGAAACCAGGTCGTCTGTTTTCCTTACTTTGTTGCTTTAGTGAAGTTGGTTTCTTTGTGACAGGCCTCGATTGGTAAATATGTGCAAATATATGGGTATCAGGCCATTTGGGACTGATGCATATTTACGTTTTATGCTTCGAGACAAGCTTCGGAAGTAAGTTACCAATTCTTATATATTAATACGTTATACTTGTTTGGTTAGGTGTATTTCTTATGATTATATTATGTGTAACTATTAGCTGGGGGAGGGGGCATGGCATTGAAGAAACATACTGCGTATATTTCGCTTTAAATCAGTGTTGATTGAGTCTATAGAGTGCTGTTAGTTTTATACCTTTTAAGTAGCAAGATACTGCTGGTATCTGACTTATGATCTTGGATGAATTATATGCTACTTTTTGTTACCCTGTTTAATAGTTTTATTGAGTGGGTAAGGCAATCTTGTCTTTTTGTATATGGGGTAGAAGAAAGTAGACACAAAAATTGTGGGAACTGCGTTACTTGATAGGTAGTGGAGCAATATTTTAGGGACGGAGGGAGTACTTGCTTTGTAAATCATCAAATAGTAATACCATAACACCTGGGGGGTGAATTTCTGGTGAGGCCTTGATTAGTTAGGTAATATACATGCTCTGTGTCACTTTCACTGCCCTATTGATTAAAAATCACACTTGATGTTCTTTATCTCTGGGCTACAATGGACAAATAAATGGGCTTATCATTCTTTAATCTTCTCATTT